CTCATTCACATAGCCCCAACATTAGCACCCTCCTGAATACTGTAATACTAATGTCTACACTGCAGAGCACTCATTATTTTTGCATTTTCTTCATCCAAAACCCTTTCCCGAGTGCTCATTCTGTGCTACACATGATTTCTGCTGTGCACAGTGCCCAAGCTGCTTCCCCCAGCCATCCACTCAGCACACTGCAGTGTGCCCAGCAGCATCTGAAGGTGTTGGTAAATAAGAGAACACTTCACATTCAGCCACCCCCTTGCCCCACAATAGAAGTTCCTTTCTTTAGTAGGAGCTTCTTTTCATCTTTACGGGGTTCATAGTAATCCATTCCTTTGCATCCATCTTGCTAAACCTGTACTACAGAGAGCCCAGAGCTTTCACCTGAGGGGGTCACCTTAGCAGAATGATGGTTTCCACCGAGAATTCCCCAGGGCATTAAGACATTTGCATACCCCTGCCCAGAGATGGATTGTTCATACAAATGCTTCCTACTGCCTCAAGGGCAGCCCCCACAGACACTGGAGTATGGGCTGTAGGAATCTTTGCACCACAAAGCATTAAAGTGTTAGCACATTCAGCTGGTAGAACACAGGCTTCCACACAGCCAAGAGAAGACCACTAAGCTCCAGTTAGGATCTGGATCCCACCCCTGGACAGCTCGCTGTCTATCTCAGTGTGCCTTTTCATGTTAGAACAAAATACCTGAGACCCTCTAATTGACAGGTCTATATGGTTCACAGTTCTGGAGGCTGAGAAGTCCCCGGCTGTGGCCTGGCATCTGTTCCGCGCCTGATAAAGGCCCTCTTTCTGCATGCTAACAGGCAGAAGGTTCCACATGGTTGACACAGAGCAAGGTCACTAGCTTGAGTTTCCCTTCCTCTTCATAGAAAGCTACTCATGCCATTGAGGGGCCCAATTCTTCTGATTCATCTTCTCCCGGTCACCTCCCAAGGCTCCCCCTCCACAGCATTAATATGTGACTTTGAGGGTTGCATTTCCAACACCGGAGGTTTGCCGGGAAAGGTTCAAACTGCAGTGCTCTCTCTCTATGTGCAATTTCCTTTTATCAAATGAAGAACAGTTTGCCCTTTCCAGGCCCTTTCTCTGAGGACCTTTTTGGCTATTTTTGCCTTTCAGCATAAAGAATTGTTTGCAGGAATGTATTTATTGCTTCACCTGCCATTTTAAAACAAGTCAAAGGACATCATAAATGCCCATTAGAGTTGCTGATTAGTATGAGATAACTGTGCCATGTGGGTATAACTGAAAGCAAAATGAAAGATTGACATTTAAGCTGGACTTTATAGCTTATATGTGGATTCAAGCACAGCTTTTATCAGATTTTCTGAAACATTGACAAGAGATTCTTCCCATTGCTATAAAAATCCCAGAAAATCTGAAATCTCTTGGGAGGCTTCACCTCTGACTTATAGCTGTGACCTGGGTGCATCTGCAGGATAGAAAGAGAAAGAGATGGCACACGACTGAAGACCTAAACCTGACTTTGTGGCTTGGCCCTCAGAACAAGAGAAGGAAGAGACATGGGTTTGTTACATGGATGGAAGGAGGGCCACAGCCTTGTCTGCAAAACTTTCAATGTTTGTGCTTGTATTATGAGTCCATGGGGACATCTGTGCTTGTGACTTGTAGACCTTAGACCCCCACGGGTGACTGGAGTAAAAGAATTCCTTTCTCTATTTCTCTCTCCTCTCTTTTCCCCAAGCTACTGCTTCTCAGGCAATTTCAGAGCACAGTGAGATCAGAGACCCAGCAGTCAGGGCTAGAAAGTATTAAAGGAAGACAGGGCCTCCATGCTCATTTTATCAGTGAAGAAACCAAAGCCAAGAAAAGCGAAGTGACTTAGGTAAGTTCACATCCTTCAGCTGGATGACAGCCAAAGTAAGAATCGAGTCTCTGAACTCTGGGGGAGAGCACTAGGTTGTGCACCTAGCACTGCCCAGAGCATCCGAGCTGGGCTCCAAATCTGCCTAACTGGAAGAAGCCACCAGGTGGCAGGTGACCAACAGGTGCACCCAGATCCCCATCCCCACAACTAGAATCATCTCTGCTCCCCCAGCACTCCTCTTAGAGTACATGACACAACCTCCAAGGCAACAGTTACAGAAATAATGGTCCTGTAGTTTAGCCAAATGGGACAAATATCCATTCACTGCACACTGTGGGGACAGAGGCCAAGTGGAAGGATGAGGTCCTGTAGGAGACACAGACACTGACACTATCCAGGTACAGGATTATAGGGTGGCTGCAGGCCTGCAGTACAGATGTGTGTCATGGTTGTCATATGGGGAAGATAAGGAGGACATGGGATGAGATGAGCAAAGGCTTCCTGGAAGAGAGGATACCAGCACCAAGGATGTCCAGGAGTTGGCAAGAAGAAGAAGGAGGAAAAGGCATTTGAAACAGAAGGAAAGCAAGCCCCTGAGAAGTAGCCTGGGTTGGAGAGGCCACTCGGGGCGGGGCTCAGCTGTGCTGGAAGATGTATCTAAGGAGGCTGTGAGTTGCAGGGAGGTCATGGAGCCAGGCCAATGTGAGCTTTGCAAGCTTTTTTTCAGAACAGGGACTTTTGTCTGTAGGCGACAAGGAGCTACAGAAATATTTAAGTAGGGAAGTGGCCAAGTTCAGGTCTACATTTTAGCTAAATTGCTTTGGCAATCGAAGGAAGATGCACTGTTGATTGATTTGGCATGAAGGCCAAGACAACAGGCTGCCAGAGAAAGGAAAGTCAGAAGTTCTAGCTTCCAGTTCAATGGCCCCAGGGTTTGTAGGTAGCATGCCACATCCAGAGAAAAGCAAGATTCCCAGGCTCTCCAGGCTGCCAAGACTGAACCCTGCAGAGCTGGGCTCAGACTGCCCTGAGTGCCAATGGTCTGTTTTACAGCACTTTCCTGGCTGCCCAGACCTTGATGGGTTTGGATGTGTGAACAAAAGCAGCTTTGCTCCCATCTCCACCCTCCCAGCCAAAAGGGCCAGGGCCTGAGCTCTCCTCTGGAGCCAGCCATGAGGTCTTGTGACTCCTGCTGGACCATTGTTGTGTCCAGAACCCTCAGGATGTCTCACTATTAGATACAGGAGCCTTTGAGGAGGCTGGTCCAGCAGGCAGAGCCCAAGCTTCCCCGCACAGACTAACCTCACCTCTGAGCTCTACAAGCTATCATTCTGTTTGTAAAAACTGCTGATCCTAGAGCCCAGACCTATATGAGACTTTGTTGGCTGATGAGGACTAGTATCCCTGAAATACTAAGGAGGAAAGAAGCAGTGCAGAATGGAATCAGCACCATAGCACCCTGTAAAATCTCCACCCATCCTAAGATATATTCAGCCACACACTGAAGTCAGAACATGAGGAGAGCCTCTGTACGCACCCCTCAGCTATGTTACTTCTTGTACATTCCATATTTTATTTTATTTCTTTTATTTTATAAATCCTGGGGAAAAGAAAAATTGTAAAGAAAGTTATATTTTAAAAAGGTGGAGAGGCTTACAAATCAGGGCTTCAGCCTTATTTAATTCCTTGTACCCAGGAAGTGTCTTCCCAGGCCTGGGCGTGAGGCTTCCTGTAATAATCACAGTGACTCTGTCTCTATGGAAGACAAAGATATGACCCACAAGACAGCTCCATTCTCCTCTGCCCCTCCGCAAAGGAGAGAGCCATCCCCCACACACATCCCTCACAGGCAAGGTCCCTAGCACACATGGAAGACAAGAAAAATCATAAGAAGGAAAACATTATAAAGATGATGGGGAAAGGGCTGGAAGTTGTTGCCTGTGTTTTATTTTTAATTAACATTTCTAATATTGGCCTGTGTGGTACCTGAAGTTTTCCCCATTAACATTACTCAAGGGTATGGACATTGAAGATTCTGCTTAAAATGCAAATCAGTTTCCCAGATGGGAAAATACATTAATAATAGCATCAAATACTCATATAGCACTTTATACCATATTCCATTTCTTTCTTGAAGCAGCCCCATGAGGCAGATGAATAATTAGGCCTTGGATCTGAATAGAAACCCAGACGCTAAATGGGGTAGGTTGAGGCAGCATCATGCGGTGCCTGCTGTGCAGACCAGGAGGCAGACAGCCCCAGTTTGAGCACTGAGTCCTAATTACAGAGGAGAGTTGGTGCTCCATCAGCTCAGCCGTCATGTGTTCTGCCACCTGAGATCAGAGAGCTGTTCACAGGCAGATATGCAACTCCCACTGATAGAGGATTTGCTGTTAGACTTGGGATGCATTGCTGCACACCAGAGGATGAGGATGGGTTATGTGTTCCGTGAAGGGGGTTGGGCAGCATAACTGGGCTGAAATCCCCTCACACTGAAAAACCCTCACCCCTTGGAAGTTAGATCACAGGCCTCCTGAGGATAGAGTACTCCGGAATGGTAGAAATCAAAGGAAATGTTATTGTGGTTTGAATCATTCTTGTCACTTCCCATAAAATCTTGCAGAAGTAGATGGGCTTACACTAGAGCTGGCTGACAGGCAAGCCGGGAGGGAAGGGAATACTTCATATTCACCACATGTCCTAGACTAGGTTCTGCTTAAGTTGAGTTGTTTTATAAGCCCAAGAAAACAGCCCAATGCAGGTGTATCCCAAACTGAAACAGTTATAAATGGGGGCCCTGGAGTGGGGACTCCACTGGAAGATTGAAGTGTAACCCCAAGACATTATCAACACCATGAACTAAGAGCTCCTGCAGACTGTGGGAGTTGAACCATCAGCACAGATCAGATGAAAAGTGGTACTGTTGTTACCATTAATTTAAGCACTAAGACAAGGGTCTGAAGTACAGAGGCCCATGAGTAAAACAAACAGATAATTAGGCTTAAAACTATATCTGGACATGAAATACAGCTGTGGTTGTTTGTACATTAAAATGATCAAAAGCAAATAGACTAGACAGTAGTTTGGATTTTGAGGAAAGTGAATTTCTAAAGAAGCTTTAAAGCCAAACATGTTAAAACATTCTCCTCTCTAGTTTCTGCACCCGGACCACAGGGCACCCTCAGAAAACCAGCTCTCCAGGAACCCATCAGATGGGGAATTGTCAACTGCCAGAGGCTGAGCCAGAGCCACTGAGGACAGGATCCAGGGAATGCACACCACAACAGGAGAGGTCCCCGCAGCATTCCTCTCCTGCCCAGCAGAGTTTGACCTTCACCATGGAAGGATAAAGTGGATGCTGTGTTTCTCTTATCCACTTTCCTGAATGGATGATTTTTTTAAAATTGTGGTTATTTTCCTTCTACTCCACATGAATAAATCAGACAGGTAGGCAGCAAATATCCTGTGTGTTTGTTTATAAGTCACAGGGCCACAAGGTGCTTACCAGAGAAATCTGCATACAGAACAAGCTGATGCAGTGACTGGATAGGCTGGGGGCGGGTGTTGCCTCTGAAATCCCAGTGTATTCCCTATGTGAACAGCCTTGTCCATGAAAGCCAGGGAGCCGAGGGGGCAGATGCAGCAGACATTGTTGGCAGCCTTTCCAATATTTGCTCTGTATTCCAGGTAACAACGTGTCTCATTATTTTCCAGCCTCCCTCACAGGTACTTATGGCCATGTGACTGAATTCTGACCAATAAGATGACAGTAGAAGGTTTTAAATGATCTTTCTAGAGAAATGGCTTTTTTCCTTTGTCCTTTTCCCCATTATGACTAAATGGCAGGTGAATGCAAGGAATGGACCTTCAGCTACTGTTTGGGACTCTGAGAAGATCTGAAAGCAGAAAATAATGCAGCAATAATGCAGAACGTAAAATACAGTGAAATTACCAGGTGCCCTGCCATGTCCGCTCACTTCCACACTTCTACTATGGGAAAGTGGGTGGAAATCTTTCGTTGTGTTTCAGCTGTTGGCTCTAGGTACCCTTTTCTGTGGTTAGCAGCAGATTATAATTCTTAATTGATCCAAGCTCAGCACTTGCTCTCCTTGAGTGTTAGTGTCAGCATTTATAAAATCAGGACAAAAAAATCCACCTTTGAAATTTTTGTGAGGATTTAAATGAAATAATATATTTTTAAAAGCCCAGCTCAAACCCTGTCATATAATCATCACTGAATAAATAGAAACTACTACCACACTTATGACAATTATGACCACCATTCTTACACAATCATTAATGATTAGTTCAAGCCAGGATCCAAACCCAAACATCTTGACAGATGTACCTCAAATTTGCAGTTTGGGATCTTACCATTCCTGATTCCAAGCCCCAGAACACAGCACAGGGATTTTACCTGAGATTAGGCATGAGGAAGTCTTACTTTGAGCTTCAGAAAGAGCTAAGGGTAGGGCTGGCTAACTTTTCCTATCAAGGGCCATGCAGTAAATATTTTGGCTTTGAAGGTCATGTGATTTCTGTTGCACTGCTTTTATAGCACAAATCCAGCCATAGGTCATATATAAATGAATGAGCAAGGCTGTGTTCCTATAAAACTTTATTTAAAAAGCAGGTCACAGCCTGGCTTTGCCCATTGGGCTCTGCCTGCTGACTCTTAGCCAAAATGAACAAAACTAGAGAGTCCCAGTTTCTATAGCCATCTGTCCCCAGGCCTTGGGCAGAGCAAAAAGGACCTTGTACCCATCTCCTGCTTATCTCCAGCACATCTTCAGTGTGTTCTCCCTGGGGGACTTAGAAGAAGTCATTCCATGCCCATCCATGCACTCTACTGAGAACATTCTTTCCCACCCCAGTCTGCTCCCAGGACCAACTCCTACTCAGCCTGCCGTTTCCAACCTAGAAACCTACATGTCATTTCCTTCAGCAGGCCTTCCTAGACCCAAGCCAGGCAAGCAATCCTGGCCGGTGCTTCTGAAGACCCCGCCCTTAGTCGACACAGCCCTCCACATTGCTTTACCACCTGGTCATCTTCTCCTTCAGGGTAGGATCTGTCACAAACTCGGTCCTCAGCTGATGGGGACATGTAACATCATGGAGTGGTCATTAATGCTCAGCATTAATCAGGGAGGGCTCAGGGAAAGGGATGTTTTAAGATGAAAGTCAGATAAGAGGAGGAGACAGCAAGATGGCAGGAAAATGAAGCCGGTGTTCGGCGTCCTGGCACCAGGCACAGGGTGCAACCTGGCTGGAGCACCTCCTACCTCTCATGTCTCTGTATGCAGTGCCTGTGTACTGCCTGCTCTTGAGGGCATTCTGCCAGGAGGCCAAGTCACCCGCGGGCTATTAACCTTGGTAATGAAAAGTACAACTTTATGACGACCAGAAATTGGCTGAACACATTAATTTTATTCATAATAGAAAATTAATGCTTGGAATGAGTGAGCCAACAGCAGTGAGGCTCTCTGGTTTCCAACACAAGGGGGAATGTACAGAGTTGTTTCCTGTGTGGAGGGCAATTTTCCCCCTTACTATGGTGCATAGCTGCCTTCTTCTTTGTGGGGACATCACTCTCCCCTCCAGGGTTCTTTCTGTAATGGGTGAGGGAAGGTGCAAAAGGAAGAGCCCACCCGCACCACCCGTGTGCCTCTGCTCCCATTGGAAGAGAGAGGTGCAGACTCCCTAGTCCTTGCTGGTGACTGAGGACTGTTGTCACAGCTTCTGTGGCCTCTGTGCAGCCCCAGGCTCCTTTCTCCTCTCCTCTTCTAGCCCAGCAGGCAGCACCTGATTCTCAAAGCAGAGTCTTGGGGAATGATGAGGAAGAGAGAAATAGAAATAGAGAACAGGGGAAAGGAAAAAGAAAACGGGAGGACAGGAGAGCAGAGCAAGGTCAGTGGTGAGGACAGAAGAGGGCTCTTCACTTATTTAATATCACCTGATCTTTATGTCCTCTGAAGTCAGGGTGTTTTCCTGCTTTAGAGATGAAGGAGCCTGGGCCTTGGGAAGGTGAATAAAGGCTCAAGGCATATTTCTTGGATGAGGCCTGTGATGCTGCCCTGTCCCCTCTGAGCCTCTCCATTTCTCCCACCCTCCCAAGCCACAGCCCGAGGACCTGTGCCCTGACTGCATCTGGGTCCAGGCCCAGGGAAAGCAGCATGAGGCCACTTGGCTCATGACTGCAGTGAAGGGAATTCAGCCTGCTGCTGTCTCAGAGGGTGGAGGGCAGCAAGACAAGAGTTGTCAGCTTCCCCCAAAATGTGCCTGTCCCCTGAGGGGTCAGAAGTCACAGACCTCCTGTGGGACACATCTCGTCTTTACCGCTAGGTGAAGACTTTGCTTAAGAACCAGTGCTGTGTGCTGTTCACACAAATTCACTGGATGCACAAGCCAACAGCTACTTGACTTCCCTGGAAACAGTTGATGCTGGCCACACCCAGGAATCTGGAGCCTGGACCAGGAGCACAGGAGGCCGTGAGGCCCAGCTGCATCCAGAGAGAGAAAATGAGCCTCAACCTGAGTTGCTTAAGGAGGACTGGACCCCCGTTCACTTCAGAGAGCAGTAGCCAGGGAGCTGGCAGACATCAAAGTCCCGGCGAACTCCAGTGTAGAACACAAAGCTCAGGTCAACCCAGACCTTCCACTGTGCTGACTTCAGACAAGCTCTTTAGCATAGTGTAATAACCCTACTGCACAGTCTCTGTGGGCTAAAGAGGGACACATGAGGCGCTCAACCAGTGTACCAAACTTGTGCATAGCTATAAGTTGGATGGGGTGGGGTGGGGGCCAATGTTCAACTGCTGGGATGCTTCGTTCTATTTTGGGTTTTGTTTATTCATTGGTTTGGTTTGGTTTGGTTTGGCTCAGTGAGATAGTCTCTCACTATGTAGTTCAGGCTGACTTTGAACTCATATGTAGTCCAGGCTGGTCACAAACTTAGAGCCATCCTCCTGCCTTCATTCTTGATGAGCCTTATTCCCCTGTAGCCACCCTGTTTTGGCCACTATTAAACATGGATTTTCACTGAAACACGGATTCGTCTCCCCAAATCCAGAAAGTCATGATCTGTATAAAGAATCTGTGGCTACATAGGTATAAGGTGTAAGGGTGTACGGGGTGACTGAAAAATATAATGAATGTTTAGAATGAAATACTTATTACAGTAAAAGACACATGACCGTGAATCCCCCTCAGAATATTCCCTTCCATTTCTAACACACTCATCCCATCCTTCTTGCCACTTTCTGAAGCAGCTCTCTGGACGTCTTCTTTGAGTGTCTTTATGAGATGTGATTAAAAATATAGTGAATGCTGCTGCCAAGTGCCATCTAATGGAAAGGCAGGTTTGTAAAAACATCATGGTGTGAGCAATATATGCACACCCATGTTTATAGTGGCACAGTTTCTAATAGCTAAAACTTGGAAACAGCCCAATTGCCTATCAACTGGAGATTGGATAATGAAGATGTGGTTTTTCTACGAAATGGAGTAGCACTCAGCCATAAAGAATGAGAAACTAGAGACATTTATAGCTAAATGGTTGTGTATGGAGGCCATACTCAAGTGAAATAAATAGGACACACATGTATAAATATTGGTTTGAAAAACTGAAACTATAAATAAGGTTCAAATTATATAATTGATAATGTAAAACAGAAAGAAAATGTCTAAAGGAGTAGGGGGAGTGGGAAGGGTAGGGGAAAGGAAAGAAGGGAAAAGAAAGAATATGAGAAAAGGAAAGCAATGGAAACAAAGTCATTGCAAATAGGGAAGGGCAGGGGGGTGAAGGGAAGGCAGAGTTATGAAGAAAAAATAAGAACCAAGATACATCATGTAAAGGTACAAGATCCCAATGATGCATGTAACTGTATCGGATACCTAAAAAGTACCAATGAACTTAATGAAAAATATTATGGTGTGTACTCATTCTACCTTATGCACCTGTGAGCCTCCTGTGCCTGACCAACCCAGGCACGAAGTCTGGTTACTTGTGTGTGACTTTTCAGAGAGACACCTGGTACTCACTGTTACGGCCCCACCCTCCATATGCCCAGTGAAGAACAGAAGCCAGGAGCTAGCCATCCTATCTCAAGCCTGGGACAGCACAGCTTCTAGAAAACCCATGGTCCAAGGTCTATCTGGCCACTGTAGGGAGATGGCTCTTCCCACCAGACTTTTGTACCATAGCTTCCTCACCCCAGCCAGTTACCTAAGCCTCTATCCCACATTAACATAATTATTGGATGTGTAAACTGCCATCAGTGGAGTGACAATGACTC